TTGATGTTGTTGCTGGTGGGAAGTTGTTGTTGTTGTTGTAAATGTTGTAAACGACGACGATGATGATTATGACGACGATGATGATGATGATGACGACGACGATGATGATGATGATGACGACGATAACCAAAATAACAATGGCGAGAATAAAATTTGGCGGGAAAGTAAATTATTCCGTTCGGAACTCTTTTGAAATGAAACTGCTCCTCAATTAAGGCTCTTTTTTATTTTGAATTTGACGATGATGATGACGACGACGATGATGATAATGAAGATGAAGAAGAAGAAGAAGAAAAAGAAGAAGATGATGATGATGGTGATGATGATAACGATGATGATGATGAATGAAAATATCAATTCAGTACGTAAACATTTTACACTACCATCCAAACTGAAGTCCATACAAGCACATACATACAAACACATACATACACATGAAAATAAACATACATACATATACAAACTAACATAAACATACAAAAAAACATACAACCATACAGAAACGTATAAACAAACATACAAAAAAATATACAAAACACAGGCAGACCTTTTGACCGTTCGTTTAACGACAGTTTCGTTTGACATCTTTTCAAGGTTTGAAGTTTTTTAATATTTCAAAAAAAAATTCTATTTCTCTTGGGGTTAATCTAGTTGTGGATGTTATTATCAACGATGTCTGTACAACATAAATAAATAAATAATTTAATTAATTAATTAATTAATTAATTAATTATCTCATGAATATACATACACATTAATTAATTGAAGCAACATACGAAAAAATAATTCAAATAAAAACTTCGAGGATCTTCCAACGCTAATTTTACACAAACTAACCTACCAAAACTGATAAATTAAAAATCTTAGAATCAGCCAAACCATGAATAGATATCTAAATGATACCTTAAATGATACCCTAATTGATACTTTAAATGATACCCGAAATGACACTTTAAATGATACTTTAAACGATATCTTCAATGATACCTTGAACGATATCTTAAACAAACATTTTTCTCAATAATTGTTTTAAAAAAATATATAAAAAATTGGCAGAACAGTCAGCGAATACATCAGAATTAACAAACAAATTAAAAAGAAAGAACCCCGACACTCTATCAACTTTTACAAAATCTTGATCCATAATACAAAATAAAAACACACACGTACACATACACACACATACAAACATACACTTACACACATACAAACACATACAAACTGTAGCAAAATCAGTAATATGTACTGAAAAGTGAGGTGATATTCTAAAAATACTTTCTACTTTTCAAGTAGTTTTTCATTCGGAGATACTAATTAACATATTTTGATTTCTATGAAAACCTTCATTTACGTTAATTTCCATCCAAAATATTGCAAAAAATTTATAAAGTTATTAATCATTTTAACTCATAGTTTGTGGAAGTATGCCTGTATCTTCATATCATGTATTCCTAACTACTGCACTCCCAGCCAGCAAGCAAACTTAACTTAGCACCTTCCAAATGGCGTTCCAAATCGACTCTTACCTTCGGCCGAATCAAACAACAACAAAAACCAGATAAAATCAACTTAAAAACTATTAATTTATTAAAAATTAAAAAAATTAAATGAATTAAAATGAGAAAGAGAGAGAGAGAGTGAGAGAGAAAACCAACACAAACCTGTTAAACGAACGAATCTCTCTGGAGTACTAGCAGGAAAATTTTACCCAAACTAACATTTAAGCTGCGATCTATAACTTAACTACAAACACGCCTTACATGCACACGAAAACACACACGTACGTACATACATATATATGAGTATACATACACACACATACATAAATACACATATAGATACATTCACATATACATACATAAATATTGAATAAAATTAGTATAATATATTCATATACTATACAATACGCATATATTTTCAATTTTATTCCATCTAGACTTGTGTTGTAGTATATACAATAAATACATACCTAAACATACGCCTATACATACATTTATACACACATGCACACGCACACATACATATACACAGACATACATCACTATAACTTAGTACTTACATACATACAACTTATTTGCTGCTGCATCCAGGAGAGGAGGAAGAAGAAAAAGAAGAAGACGAAGAAGAAGATGGTGGTGGGGTTAAAATTGATGATGACGATGAAGATGTGAAGGATTAATATGGATATGTAGAGATGTAGAAAGGTAGCAATGGCGACGATGTTAACAAAAATGGTATAAAGAAATAAAAACGTAATAGAAACATCATTCCAAACAATTAAGCCAACTATATAACATACAACAATGCAGAACTGTGATAACAAGTTCGAAAATGATGTTACGAAGATGAAGACGATGAGGACGATGATGATGACGATGATGATGGAATTTGCTATAGAATGAAAGCAAAAAAGTTGTCTAAGCAGCTTAGGTTATCGTGCAACAACAACAACAAAACAACACCAACATCATCAACAGCAGCAGCAAAGGTACATACATACGTGCATGCATACATACATACATACATACATACATACATACATACATGCATACATACGTACATACATACATACATACATACATGCATACATACATACATACATACATACATACATACATACATACATACATACATACATGCATACATACATACATACATACATACATACATACATACATACATACATACATACATACAAACATACAAACATACAAACACACACTCACCCATACATACACGTATAAACTATACATACATGAATTAGGCAGAGAGCAATGCAAGAAAAGAATGCAAATGCCTTAGAAAATTATGTATATATGTGTGTGTATGTATTTGTGCGTGTATATGTGTGTGTGCGTGTATGTGTGTGTGTTGTTTGTGAGTGATTGTTGTAATCACGTTATGTAGATTGTATTTTTAGTTTGAGTGAATGAGCGTTTATTATTAACATTATATCAGAACGATATTCTGCATTAGTTCTTTCTGTATGATTGTATGTTTATTAATTTGTACTTTAGCGTTTTTGTTGGACTGAATGTTTGCATACTTGTTTGTTTGTTTGTTTGTACACTTGTTTGTTTGTTTGTTTAAATTTATCTTTGTTTGTCTGTCTACATAGTTTTTCTCTAAATGTTTTTTTACCTTTATACTACCACTACAAAAACGACTACTACTACTGCTGCTGCTACTACTACTACTACTACAATTACTACTACTACAACTACAATTACTACTACTATTACTGCTACTTCTGCTAATATTAATAATAATAATAATAACAATAATAATAACAATAATTATCATCGTTGTCGTCATCATCTTCATCTTCAGACTCTGCAACAAATTATGCCTCAAAGGGGAGAAACATTCGAAGCATTCTTTGTCGAAAAAAGGAAAAATAATAAGAATAACAAAAAAATATCATGATTATTATGATTATTATTAATTTTGTATTATTATTATTATTTCTTATTAATAATCTATCATATACGATTTGTATCATTTTATGTTGTATACTTCATTCGTTCATTCGGTTTTTTCTTCAATCTTTCACTCTCTCAACATTTTTAACGTTTAGCTCTCAGTTGGCAAACATATATACAAACATGCCAACATACAAACATGTATACAATTATGCAAACATACAAACGCGTAAACAAAGATACAAACAAACAAACAAATTTTAAATATTATACATACAGAAAGACTACATAGGCATGAATTAGTCTTCCAATTTTCTGCGGGTATAACAATATTAATAACTAACTACAATATTTATTTTAATAAATTATGATGAATAATGAATAAATTTCGAAAGCCTGATTACTTCAGGTTGTAAATGTGACATGAATATCAAACGAAGGATAACTAAGGCGAAAGGTGCATATTCTAAAATGAAGAACATCCCCACCAACAGTAAAATCAGAATACCAACAAAATTAAAACTGTCAGGGTGTTACATTTTTCCTGTTCTAACTTACGGCTCTGAGTCCTGGACAATTTATAAAGAAGTGGAGAAAAAGAATAACGCTGCTGAGATGTGGTTTTTGAGAAGAATTATAAAAATTAGTTGGACCCCTCATACTTCGAATGAGGATGTATTAAAACGGTCCGGTTATGAAAAGAGGAAACTACTACAGATAATGCGATTGGTGCAGTTAAAGTTTTTTAGTCACATCATGCGGAAGGAAAGAATGGAAAATCTAACAACTACTGGAAAGATTGCTGGGAGAAGAGATCACGGTCAACAATGAATAACACTCGTGAAGTCCTTGTGTCACTTGTTGAATATCTTCACATTTCAACTCTTACAGTGTTAAAGATCAGGTTTTGTGAAAGTCGATGGTCGCCAATGTCCTGAAAGGATAAGGCACGAGAAAGAAAAAAACAAAGAAAGAAGAAAAATGAATAAATTGTGATATTAACAAAATAAATTGAATAATTTCTACATAAAAAGACGATTTTTTTTTCTTATTCACGCAAAAAAAATTTTAAAAACGTAGAAAATGCTCTTAATGTTAAAATAAACAAACCAATCGTTACCACTGCTACAACCATCCCCGCTCAAAGAATAATAATAACAAAACTACTACTACTACTACTACTACTACTACTATTACTACTACTATTACTGCTACAACTACCACTACTACTACAAAAACTACTGCTGCTGTTGCGACTACTACAACAACTACTAATATTAATAAAACACATATCTATATAAACACGCACACACACATAGTGTTTTTGGTGGGTAGAAATATAGTCTCTGTCTTTTGCATTCGTTTTATTCAAGTAAAATTATTTCCTATTCCGATTCAATCCGATACAATTCGATATTAATTCGATACTGCAGTATTATCGTTATCAATTTTATTCACACTGGTTTTTTTCAGTTTTTTTTTAAGAATTTTTTTCGAAAGATTTTTCGTTTTTGTCTTTAGCATTCGTTTTGGTTACTTTTCGTCTTCTAGATTTTCTAATTATTTTTTATGTTTTTGTTTTGTTTTAATTTTTTGTCTATGTTTTGTTTATGTTTTTTTTGGTTTATATTTTGTTTTTGTTGAGTATTTAGTTTTTACCAGTTTTTTTACCAGTTTTTTCAGAACGAAAAAAGCCATCTTGTTGGTTTTATTTGACGTGTATGTTTTTATTGTTGTATCTATTTTTCAATTTATTTTTCTTTGGTAACTTTCAAATAAAAAAAAATTCACGAAAATTTTTTGAAACTGCAGCTGTTTGTTTGCTGAGAGCAGATGTGTGATAACTGATGTATCGTGGTAATGATAATAATGATGATGATGATGGTGGTGGTAGTGTTGGTGTTGAGAGCACACCAATACACTCAATCACACAAACAAACAAACACAGACACACACACCAACAGACACAGACACACACACCAACAGACACAGACACACACACCAACAGACACAAGCCTCAACTTTGACATCGCGTGTTCACATTGCCTTAGTCTTCCTAACCACACAAATATGTACTATCACTCGTTCTTATTACAAGAAACTACTTACTCTTCCTCTGCCAATTCTTCTCTCTCTTTCTTTTCTTCTCTCTTTTTTTTGTTGTCTCTCTCTTCCTTCTCTCTCTCTCTCTCTCTCTCTCTCTCTCTCTTTATCTCGTTTTCATCTCTTATTTTCTCTATTTCTTTCCTTCATTGGTTAAGTCATGGTTCTTCACACTGATGCTTTTTAGATGATATTTTTGTAATACTACTGCTGCTACTACTGCTACTATTACTACCACTACTTACAACTGCTGCAGTAACTACTTCAACTACTACTTCTTCTACCACCAATTTTTGTATCAAAGTTGGTCGTGCGTAGTTCAAGCTGGGTGCTAGCAGGGATTAGTTATGTTACATTATCTTGTTGTTTTGTTTCTTAACGAGTTGGTTTCTTTGTTGTTGTTGTATATTAAAAAAAATACAACAGTCAACAAACAAACGAACATACTTACATACATACATATAATATAATATATATATATATATATATACATACATACAAACATACACACATACATACATATATACATACATACATACATACATACATACATACATACATACATACATACATACATACATACATACATACGTACGTACGTACATACATACATACATACAAACAAACAAATACAAACCAGCCAACCAACCAGCCAACAAACAATAAACAAACCAGCAACAACACATAGGTCCTGGACACAATAAGAAGACAATAACGAGGTGTGATGAAAGTTTATGTTGTTTGCGTTGGGCGTCGGGTAATTTCTTCGACTCTCTCTACCTACACACACTCACAGACACACATACACACACGCACACACACACACACGCACACTTTCACAACTTTCTTATTTGAGAGAGTCTGAAACTTAGAAGTTAATGCGCTAAAACATGCACATGACAGCACACACACACATACACACACACACATACACACACACACATACACACATTTACAAACACATACATACACACACATTCACACGCACATACAAACTGTCTGTTGATGTGAGTGTAAACGAACAATAACACACTTACACATTCAGCTATAATCATGAGAATACAAAAAAGGAGATTCACAAACAAGCATACAACCATACACACATATAAACAAACAATAACACACACACAAACAAACACACACACAAACAAACATACACAAACAAACAAACAAACAAACACACAGACAAATAAACGCAAATATACAAAATGGGCATATTTATTATAGGCACTATTTGTAATTGCATGGCACACACGCTCCAAAGTGTATAACAGTAATAAAATATACAGTACATTTGCTTTGTATTTTTGTATACATACATACATACAAACAAACAAACATACATACATACATACATACACACACACAAATACATACATACACACACCAATATACAAACCGATATACAGACAGACAAACATACATAGGTACGTCTGTTTAAGGATAGAATTTTTATAGTTGTCTGGATAAAAGCAATGATAATGATGACTAAGATGGTGACGATGACGACGAAGAAAACAACTCATATTTATTCTCTCATTTGAAAAAAAAAAATTATAAGGATTTGAATTGGGGGATCTGAGAATTTAATCAGCAGTGCCTTCTACATTTTTATGGATTTCTAAACGTGCACTCTGATTAAAACAAATTCCAAGGAAAAGCATAACGATGCAAATGCAATTACAGCAGTCGTGGTAGTAGTAGCAGTGGTGGCTGTCGTAGCCACAGAAGTATTCAAACTAACTGCAGTAAGACTAGTAGCAGCAGTAGTAGTAGTAGAAGTAATAGTAGTATTAGTAATAGTAGCAGTAGCAACAACGACAGTAGTAGTAGTAGTAGTAGTAGTGGTAGTAGTAGTAGTAATAGTAGTAGTAGTGGTAGTAGTAGTAATAGTAGTAGTAGCAGTAGCAGTAGTAGTAGTAGTAGTTGCTGTTATTATTATTCTCTTGTGCAAAGTTCCTAGGCGTCTGCCTACCCCGGGCTAATTTGAATAAATGGTTTTGTCATACATAATAATAATAATAATATTAATATTAATAATAAAATGATGGAATAATAATAATTATAATAACAACAGCATCATCACCGTCACCGTTATCTTCTTCATCATCATCCACCGTGTTCGCCATCATTATCATGATGATCATCAGCGGTTCGCTCGGTCATGCGCTTCATAATTTTGTTTATTTATTTATCTATCTATCTATGGTCTTTGGTTTTTGTTCTGTGCATGTTTATTTGTCTATGTTAGTTTAGTCAGGCTGCATTTAAGCTCACATTTGTTGAATGCCTGTTGTTGTTGTCGATGTTGATGATGATGTTTTTTTGTTGATGTTGTTGGTGGTGCTGATGATGACGTTGTTGTTGTTGCAGCTGGTGCTGCTGATGATTTTGTTGTTGATAATGGTGTTACTGTTGATGTTTTTGTTGTTGCTGTTATCTTTTGTTATTAAAAATGCCAGTTGTATTGAATGGTTATGAAGATGTATTTCTCATTTGTTAGTGTTATCTTATTGTTACCTGGCTAATGTGCGTTGTTGTTGTTGTTGTTGTAGTTGTTGTTGTTGTTGTATCTTATGTTGTTGTTGGTGGTGTCGTTGTTGTTGTTGTTGTTGTATCTTATGTTGTTGTTAGTGTCGTTGTTGTGTTTATGCCACTTAATTATGCATGCATGTTTTTCATTTCCATGTAAGTATGAACATTAAAATAATTTTTATGTGTAAATTAGAGAGAGAGAGAGAGAGAGAGAGAGAGAGAGAGAGAAAAGGAGAGAAAGAAAGATAGAAAGAGAGTAGGTGTGTATTTGTGTGTGTGTGTGCCTGTGTGCGTGTGTGCGTGCGTGTGTGTGCGTGTCGTTACCAGTTTTTGTAGGCGTCATGTATGACATAAATCAATGTAAAGGCCTGAACCAGGGCAAGCATAGATGTCATAAATAAATTTACGACCAACAAAATATGGGATTTTCCCAATGGGAAATTCCGTAACATGCTTTTTTTGGCGCGAAGTATTTGCCGATTATGGCGACGTCATAATCGTTACCATCGAAAATGATGACGATATTTTTGTTGACGACGATGATGATGATGATGTCCATGGAGAAGATGATAATGATGATGAAACAAAATGGCGTCGTAAAGCCAGATCGCAAATTGCAGAAAAAAAAACAAAAAGCAAAAAAGAACAAAGAAACATGAACATAAAATCGGATAATGTCGGTAATTCTGGGCAATTTTAAGCAAACTGCAGTATTATTTATCTATGGTTCGTCGCACTAGGCCAATTATCACCCATGATTTATATATATTCTTTGGTCAGTTAGATACGCCTATATTCTCAGTCTGTACGTATATATATATATCTATATTTTTTCAGAAAATAAAAAATTATTTATCAAAAAATTAACAAATAATTATATTTGATCACATTATCAATATGGTATATAATTATAAATTCATCTAAAAGAAAAGAAAGAAAAACAGAAAAACAGAGAAAGAGAAAAACAGAGAAAAAAAAAGATTAAAAATAGTAAATGTTAAACGCTAACCTCCAACACTTGTAAGTGTGTTTTCAATTTTTGCAGATCACTTGAAGTATTTGGAATCTTTGGTTTCCACCCAACAGGAAAGGGTAATAAGGTTAAACAACATCATCATCGGCATCATCTTCCTCCTCATTTTCATCATCATCATTACCATCATCATCATCGCCACAATCGCCGCCGTATTCATCATCATCATCATCGGCGTTTTCGAATCCGCCATCAATCACAGCGTATCTATTAATGTTTGGGTTGGGCTGCAGCTGTTTGTGGCATGTTTGTTGACGCTGCTGCTACTACTTTTACCACTACCACCACTACTACTACTACTAATATTACCACTACTACTATCACTACTACTACTACTACCACTACTACTACTACTACTTTCACCACTACTACTACTACTACTACTACCACTACTACTTTCACCACTACTACTACTACTACTACTACCACTACTACTACCACTACTACTACAACAACAACTACTACTACTTCTACTTTTACCACTACTACTACTACTACTACTTTTACGACTACTACTACTACCACCACTACTACTACTACTACTATTGCTGCTGCTGCTGTTGTTGCTGCTGCTACTACATTTACTGCTACTACTAATAGTAGTAGTATAATTTGTTTTGGCCGTTAGTAGGAAAAAAGTGAAAGAGATAGTATGTAAAAGATATTTTAATCTTGTTATATACTTCATGTAAAACAAAGTTATTATTATTATTAATTATTATTCTTAATATTAATATTATTAATTATTAATATTTTATTGCAGTTTTTATTATTGTTATTGTTTTCTCCTAATTATTATTATTGCTATTATTTTTATTAACATCATTGTTAACGTAGTTTGTCTTCGTCATCGCATTTAAAATTGACGAAGTTACAACATCCTAATCATCACCATCACCACCATCATCATCATCATTACCATTGTCATCATCATCATTATCGTCATCATCATCACAATAGTTGTTCCCGCATGATTCTTGTGTATTTTTGGCCGGTCGGCTGAATTGGAGATTGGACTGAAAAGTTGTTGTAAAAATTATCATCATCATCATCTTTATCATCATCATCATCATCATCCTCATCCTCATCTTCTTCTTTATCATCAATATCATCGTCATTACCATCATCGTCATCATCATCATCATCGCCGCTGTTAAAGTTAAAAGATGAAGAATAACAAATAAATGAATGAATAAAAATATAAATAAGCAAACAAAATAAATAAATAATAATAAAAATAATAATAAATAAAAATAATAATAATAAAAAAATATACACATTACTATCGCACGCATGCTATACTAACCTAAAGGCTGATAAAAATCTTTTTGCGATGTTAAGCTTGTAACGTTGTAATCATTCAAACCACTGATGTCAATCGTTTTTGACGGCAACTCAATCTGATGTGTAGCTTTTGTAGTTGTTGTTGGCGCTTTTGCGGTGCATGTCGTCGTCGCTGGAGTGTCGTTGGAAGCTGGTTGTAGGTAGTATTCGCGTCGTTTGTCTGTCGTTGCGAAGTTGAGGAAGAGGTGGTTGTTTTTGTTGTTGGCGTTGGTGGTGGCGACTGTTGTGTGGCTCAAGTGGCTGCCTTGAGGCGATAACGTTTTATATTTTTCTGTGTCGACTGTGGCGTAAAAAGGGACAACGTTGTAGTTGTTGTAGTTGTGCTGCTGGGGGGTTGTGGTTGAGAATGTTGAGAGTGACGATGTTGAAAGTAAGTCGTTGTTTTGGTGGTTGCTGTTGCTGTTAACACTGTTGTTGTTTATGTTTGGCTGGCTGTTGTAACTCTTATGAAAATTGTTGCATTTTAATTTTGCTCTGTTTTTTTGTAGTTTCTTCTTACTTTTGTCAGTTGAAAATCGAAATAATTTTGTTGTGAAAGATTTGTTAGATGATGAGTTTTTTTCCAAATCACCACCGTCAGTGTCGCGGTCATTTCTGTGGAGAGGTTCATAAGGCAAGAGAAGTGACCTGGCAGCACAATCGCTGCTGTGGTTGTTGTGGCTGTTGTACTGTTGTAGCAGTTCGTTTTTGTAACTGACGTTGCAGTGGTCTATCGCAGTGGTCGTTGAGGCCATGGTGGCGATTTGATAGCCATCTGTGCTGCGATTTCGTTGCTTACTCCTGGCTATGCAAATAACAGCGATGAGCAGAGTAATTAAGACGATTATTAAGGCTAGCGTTATTGTTAAAATCTGAGCTAAATCTTCACTGGCCAGCAGGTTATAAATTTTTGCGTTCCGAAAGTCATCAGCTATCCGCTGCAGCACGTTAGCTGGTTTGCGTCGAGTGGTGAGTGTGAGGGTGGAGTTAGAGCTGAGTGGGTGCGGGCCGTGGTCCGATGCTCTAACAACTAATTCTCGTTTGAAATTGTACTGGTTCTCTTTCGATTTGTGCCCAAGCAGGTGTCGCCTCAAGACCACCATCCCCGATGTTGGATCAAGCGTGAATAGATCGTCTTCGTTGCCGCTCTCGATTGCGAATCTGATTTGAGCATTCTTTCCTGAGTCGTAATCTACGGCCGATAGCTTGGCCACTGCGAAGCCTGGGAAGTCGTCGACGGAGAAGTAGGCCACGTTGTTGTCGGTCGTCGGGAAGGTGAAGATGGGCGGGTTGTCGTTCGAGTCCTGAACTTTGACCTCCACAGTTGTGCAGGCGATTTGTGGTGCCACCTGTTGAGCGGTCCTGTTCTTGAGCACCAGCCTTCCTCCTTCCTCCAGTTCAACAACGTGCCTGTCTTGAACGGCCATCACATTCAGTAGATAATTATTTTGCATTTCTCGGTCGAGACTTTTCTTAGTATAAATTTTTCCACTGTGCTTTTCAGCTTTAAAAGGCAATTCGGTTAAAAAAAATTCTGTAGCGTTGTTAGAGCAACCATTGGAAACAAGATAAAATAGCGAATGTTTTATTAAGTGTTTGTTATTACTAATCAACTCTACTTTGCCAACGGGGGTCACTGCATCTAAGTTTTCCTCCACGCTGAACCGATAGACATCCAATGAAAAAGCTGGCATTTCATCTTGGCTATTGAGAATTTGCAAAGTTAATTTAGCATTTGACGATTTAACAGGCGTGCCTAAATTTTTAGCCACAACGGTATATTCGAAATGATCTGAATCTTCAAGTTCAACGCTCTCAACTGCAACTGTAATTAGTCCGCTGTTCGAATCGATGGAAATGAGTTCATTACTTTCTGAAGATTCAGTTGATTTCAATTCGTACAGGACTCGCGCATTGTCACCCTCATCTCTATCTGTCGCTGAGACTTGTAAGACAGTGGCACCGTGAGTTGCTCCTTCTTTGACGGATGCTCTGTAATGAGTCTGACTGAAGATTGGAGGGTTGTCATTCTTATCTAGGATCGTTACGTCGATTGTTGCACTGGAAGATGTAGGCATCCTACCATTGTCCCGACACAAAATAATCACTCTTTCTTTCCCTGATACTTCTCTATCGAATTTACGTGCAGTAACAATTTTGAATTCCGTCTGATACATTTGTTTCAGCTGAAAATCTTTACTCAAATGTTCGAAATCAACCAGACTGCTGTACTTCTGCAGTCGGTCAGAAATGAGCGAACTGTGAAGGGAGCAAGAGAATTCTCCGTTCTCAGAACTGTCCTTATCATGAACAGTTACGTGGGCGACGAACGACCCGACGTCTGCGTTTTCAAAAATGTGAGGAGTTGATATCCTGTTTGCTGTAAGGCTGCTGCTGCTGCTGTTGCTGCTGCTGTTTGTGTCGTTGCTCGGAATGGATTTGTTGTCGTGCAAATTAGCAACAAGTCTCACAACGACCTCAACGCCATTGACGTCGCTATTCGGACCGTTAAGATTTAATCGCAAGGCAGTTTCACCTGAGTTAAAATTGTTTTTAGTGTAGCTATTATTAACGTTAGTGACGTTTTCAATGACTCGAGTTTGGTAGTTGACCTTAATTTCTGGAACATTATCATTAACGTCCTTCACATTCACTAGGACAGTGGCCTGTGATGATAAGCTTCCACTGACCCCTTGGTCGGTTGCCAGGACATTGAGTGTCATGGATTGCTGAGTTTCGAAATCCAGGGCCTGCACCGTGCTTATTTGCCCGGTCGATTTGTTGATTTTAAATAAGTGACCGTACTTTTGCGTTGTTTCGTCGGTAAATCGATATTCGACCAGACCGTTCAAACCTTTGTCGGCGTCTCTGAGCCGGTTTTGAAAAAATGGCATGTGCTTATTTACTGATAAATTATGAGGCGTACTTAAAAAAATTAAAAAGTTTATTAGTCAAACGTTCACTCATGTATCTTTTTATATACATTGCATATTAATGAGCACCATTGGTCAAGTTGTTGAAACCAGCTTATACAATTTTTATCTAACCAACTGATAAATTCAAATTTTAAAAACATCATGTCTATCTACGTGAAAAAACAAGCAAAAAGTAAAATATTTTTGAATTAACACGACACAAAACAACACAACACACATACAACAACACATTGGACAACCGCACAACAACACATGCAACAACACATACAACAACACATGGGACAACCGCACAACAACACATGCAACAGCACATACAACAACACATGGGACAACCGCACAACAACACATACAACAAACACATACAACAACACATGCGACAACAACACATGGGACAACAACACATACAACAACACAATCCTTCCTACCTCGCACACAGTTTTATCAGCGTTTCTCCGACGTTTTCACCTTCGAGCACGTGAATTTCATAAGAGGTGTTCTCAAAAATTGGCGGGTTGTCGTTGGAATCGAGAACAGTGATGTTGACGATTAGGTAAGAGGAACGAGATGGATTGCCCCCGTCATACGCCTCCACCTGTATTCGTTTGGTCCCATTTTTTTTATTTTTCATTTAATTTTATTCTCACAAACCTCACTATAGTTTTATAGTTTTTTTTCCAGAGCTTTTACAGGAAACACGCGCACTGTGCGTAAGTGTACGTGAATCAAATAAGCACTATTACGGTGCGGTATGAAAATAAAAAAATATAATTATAATTATAATAATAGCAAAAGTAATAATAATAATTCTGGCTAATAATAAAAAAAAAATAACCGAGATAAAATAAAAAAAATGTTTTTTACATGCCGAACAAAACGGACGCAGACGATACAATGACGGTTGTTTCATTCGACCTACCAGTGACCAAGTACCAAATGAATATTTAAGCTAATTTATCTTTTTGCACTTGAGACTTTTTGAGTTTTTTTTTCAAACCATTACTACTATTAGTGTTACTGCTTCTACTACTACTACTACTACTATTACTACTACTACTACTACTACTACTACTACTACTACTACTACTGATACTACTACTACTACTACTACTACTACTACTACTACTACTACTACTACTACTACTACTACTACTACTACTACTGATACTACTACTACTATTACTATGACTACTACTACTACTACTACGACTACTACTACTACTACGACTACTACTACTATTACTACTACTACTACTACTACTTATACTACTACTACTACTTATACTACTACTACTACTATTACTATGACTACTACTACTACTACTACTACTACTACTACTACTACTACTACTTATACTACTACTACTACTACTACTACTACTACTACTACTACTACTACTACTACTTATACTACTACTACTACTACTACTACTACTTCTACGACTACTACTACTATTACTACTACTACTACTACTACTTATACTACTACTACTACTACTACTTCTACGACTACTACTACTATTACTACTACTACTACTACTATTACTACTACTACTACTACTACTACTTATACTACTACTACTACTACTACTACTTCTACGACTACTACTACTATTACTACTACTACTACTATTACTACTACTACTACTACTACTACTACTACTACTGTTATGTCTTGAGTACATTTGCATTAGTTTTATTTGAGAGTGATGTTGTATACGCTATTCAGTTACTGATACCCTTACTCTTACTGCTACTGCTGCTGCTACTTCTACTACTGCTGCTGCTACTTCTACTACTGCTGCTGCTACTTCTACTACTGCTGCTACTTCTACTACTGCTGCTGCTACTACAGCTACTACTACAGTCGTCAATAATATTATTATCGATAGAGATACTAATACTTTACAAAGTACGGTTAATATATATTAAGCTCTTCTAAGTTACTCCAGTTTAATAGTAATGATATACAACTACTGATATACTACTACTACTGCTGCTGCTGCTACTACTGCTACTACAATTACTACAAATAATAATAATAATATAAATAATGGGAACACTGCTTTTATTTTATCAAATATCACAAAATTAATTTAAAGATAGATATAAAATAATGTTTAATATAATAAAGTATTTAAATTAATAGGCTGTTAGTCTAATTTGCTCATCACTCGACAAAAATTAGTACAAATAGAGGATTATAGTCAATAAAAATAAGGTTCATTCATTATTCCTATCGCAATATATTGAGTAAGATGATGATAACACAGAGTTTATTAAATTGTTTCTAAAATCGTTCGACCAAATTAAGTTAACCAGCGATAAATTAAAAGTATTGTAAAAACCCATTGTAGAAATTTCAAATGTTTTAATTAAAAATTTAAAATTATTGTATTCACTCTTTAAATTAAGTTGAAGGGCTTGAGAGTGCTTTTCAATTTTGTATTCTTTAGATTTTTTTAAATTTGTTTCGTGGCATATCGTTAGTTCTAAAATCTCGATCGTGTCGTCGCGGACCAGTGCTATATCAGGGCGCAGAGATTTAAACAGCGTTGATACTGGACGAAAATCTTCACACTCCAGATCGGCAAACAACGAGACTTCCAAATTTGCGCATTTTTTAATATTTTCTAAAACTATTGAGAGAACTTTGTTGTGACGACCTGAATATCTTTTCAAAGCTGCAACGGAGCTACAGTTGGACAAAACATGCTTGTTTGTTTGATAAGCGTCACATAGTGGACATTGTGGTTTAGACGTTTTGCCCCATCTTGCTAGGTTGGAGTTTGTTGGAAGTTGTTGAATGATACTTTTCATAATAAACTTGTAAATAACCTCTGACTCTGTGGCCGTAGATCTTGACCAGCGAACTATTTGATCTGATTTGATGTTTTCCCTCACTGTCTTCAACACTATTCCTTGGGAGCTTAGTGATGATAAATGGTCGAACACCTTTTCTTGCTGTTTGAGCTTCAAATCATGGAGAGTGGGATTTATATCTTTGGTGACTGGGAGCAAGTTGTCTATTTTTGTGTAGTCATTAAATGACTCGCTCCACAGACTTTTCATTTCTTCGTTACCGTTAGATTTAAGGTAGTTGCGAAGCTTCACTCTCAATGATTCAGCATAATGTTTCAGGGATCTGATGTTCAGACCTCCCAATTTGTACGGCAGTGAAAGAATCTCAGATAGACAGCTGCTTATTGGTAAAGCCAGCCAAGTTCTAACGGCATCGTTAATCAATGGATCCAACTTGCTGGCAATCCATGACAGTGATATATCGTAAATACGCAGTTCGAAGGCTACTTGAGCTGGGACAAAACGACGTAAAATTTGAAGTTTCCACTGGGCTGTGGTGTCCAGACTTGAAATCGTTGACAACATGCCTTGTAATTTGTTGAGCAGCAAATCTTTAGCTTTGGAATTGTTGCATTCAAAATCGTATATTTTACCTAGATATTCGAAATGGTCACCAATGCGAATCTGCGGTACAGGGGTGTTATCAATTGTCAACCTTGACAGGAATTGTTCGTAGTTACCATTTTTCTTCCTCATGCCAAACGTGCAGCATTCATCTATCCTCATTTTCATCCCGGTAGCTTTGCACCAAGCTTTGTTTAAGTCAATTAATTTTTGGGCACCTTCTGTGCTGTTGGCGATGATTGCTGAGTTGTCAGCAAATTGGAACCATGCCCTTGATTTTAAATAAGCTGAAGGGCTTCAAATGTAACCACATTGCTGGTATTCCCTGCCCTCTAACAATTTCATGAGTGGATTAAAACAAAGGTTGAACAGCAACGGTGACGCAGGATCGCCTTGTAGTACACCACGCTTGACCGGGATCGGAGGAGTTAGCTTTTCGCATCCAGAGACCGATATCGAATAATCTGTGTATGTGAATTTTATTAAATTGGTTATCGCTGGTGGTATATGATGGTAATTTAGAGAAGCTGAAATAAGGTCATGACTGACTTCGCCAAAAGCGTTGCGAAGATCCAAAAGTGAGACGATGACTGTTCTTTGGTGCCTCTTTGCATCTTTGAGCATATGAGTTAATAATTGAGTATGCTCTGCCAAACCATCTACTTTTGGATAGAAACCTTTCTGGATATTTTTATTAATGTAATTGTTGGATTCTAAAAATTTGTATATTCTGTTGTTGATAAACGACGAGAATATTTTATATAGGGTAGGCTGCAAAGTTATTGGTCTGAAGTTGGCAGGGTGATTGGCGTCACCCTTTTTTGTAAATTAAAATTGAGAACCCTTTTTTCCAACAGGATGGAATCGTTGATGATGACCAACATTTGTTTAGAAGTTGATGAAGGATTGTGCGAAGAATCGGACATTTTTTGAAGGGTATCGTTGAAATCTGGTCAAGAGGGCATGGAGATGCTTTAGATTTGCATTTGCGAATAATTGATGAAATTTCTGCATATGATGGTGGATTTATATTAAATGGTATTGCAGGTTCTTGAAGATTTTGTATCCAATTTGGAAGGTTGAATTTATTGTTTGGAGAATCACTTAAAATTGAATGGAAATATTTCTTGCATTCGTTAGAATTAAATTGAGGTGACAAACTTGTTGACTTGTTGAATAGCGATTTGCATGTTTTCCAAAACCGTTGTTTTAGTTGCGTTGAGATGTCATGCGTTTTTTCATTAGGTGCCGATTTTTTTGACTTTAATTTAAATCGAATAGCTTTACTTTTTTCGCTAATTTGTTTGTCGAAGTTATTGTTGTTGTGGCCTAAGAACTTGAGTTGTTTTAACTCTTTTTTTAAAATTTTAATTGATTTATTCGAATTATTTCCTTTCATGGTGGATGGGGATTCAATTATACCATAATTTGTGGCGAAATAATTGTAGATAAAATTTTGAAATTTGATCGTGTCGTCGTTCAAGTTGCCGAAATCTGAGAAATCGCTTCGATGGATTCGAAAGTAGTCGTTGGCTTCGGTCCATTCTGCCTCTGTTCTTGGCAATTTGACTCCCGGAAGCAATGATTCAGATGTATCGACATCAGTTGATTCTGTTGACGTAGACGACGGATCAGTGTCGGATGCTGAAGCGGAGGTTGGCAGCCGTAGCGAAGAGGGTAAACTGGAGCAGTCATTTTCATGGTTTGATTTTTTATTTGTAACTCTCAGTGTTTTGAACATTTTGCATGAACGTTGATGCATTATAAGACCTCTTCGGCCCTTGCAATATTTCCCGCATCAACATGACAATAAATTATCTACATTATTTGAATTAATATTACTGAAATTAGAGTTAATATTGTTAGAGCTATTGTTTACGTTTAAGTTCGGAGATACAGATGCGGTAATAACAGTAGAAATATTAACATTTGAGTTTGTATTTAATTTTGTACAGCGCCAGGAATGTCTACCAATTGATACAAATGATTTATTACAGTGAATACATATAGTAGCCATATTTAAATTTATGAACCAGATATTTAAAAACCCGATATTTATTCGATAAATTAAACTATTAAAACCGAAATAAAACCAATTTAAATTAAAACTACAATGTTCTAGAAATTTTTCCGAATAGAATGAACCTATTTTTAAAAACCAATTACGACAATAAAAACATAAATTATGCATAAAAACAGTGAATTGCACCAATCGGCCAACTCTCTTGTAATATACCCGCATAATAATAATAATAAAAAAATTATAATAACCTTGAAAAAGTACGTCTCCCGTTCCTCTCTATCTAACGGTCGTTTGAGAATTAATCTCAGCCTATTCGAACTCGGGCTAATATTATAGTTCTTGTTATTATTATTATTGTTGTTGTTGTTGTTGTTTTCGTCGTTGTTATTATCATCGAATTTATTTTGAATTTGGTCAAGACGAATTTTTTTACTACTATTACTAATCTTATTAGGTAAATTTTTGTTTTTAGTAATTTTATGACTACTACTACTACTACCACTACTACTACTACTACTACTACTACTACTACTACCACTACCAATAACGTCATCATTATCATCATCACCATTTTGACCGCCATCGACCGGACCGTCAGAATTTTCAACGTTAACAGACCTCAAAACTGAGAAACCCAACTCGAAATTATTTTGCCGCGGGATCAACTTATATCCCACCAATCCGTTGTTGCCACTATCCTTATCTACAGCGTCGGGAATCGTAAAAGATGTGCCCGGATCGGCGGATTCGGAAATTTCGATGTGATGGGATTGAACCGGGAAGGCTGGCGAATGGTCGTTTATGTCGGTTATGTGCTGGAGGACTTTGAAAATTTGCAGGGATATTCCGGATCGGAGGGCCACGGATGTCTGTTTTGATATGAAATAACGTAACGTAACACGGAGAAATGGGTGTATATTTTTCATAAATTGATCCGTACGTAGGTGGGGTGCATAGAATGAAGGGCGCTATTCTGCATTATTTTTTTGATTGAAACAATAAAAGTTTTATCTTCTAGGCTAGAAACCAGTTGAAAATGGGAACATTTTGTGGTGATGATGGTATGGCTGTGGTTGGTAGTGGTGCTGCTGATGATGAGGACGATGATGATGAGAATGATGAAGATGGTGGTGGGGAGGATGGTGGTGATGATGATGATGAAGTGGATGTGAGGATGGTAACGATTCCGTTAGTATAGTGATTTTAAATGTAACAATTACAATTGTTTGATGTTCAAAAGTATTTTTACTTAAACAAAAACAAGAGAAAAAACAACACCAGAGATAAACAAAAACATAAAAGAAGGTACATTACATTAGAGCAGCAGGATCTATTGTCGCTATTATAGACAGGACTTTTGGGACAATTAACATCATCATCATCATTATCATCATCATCATTATCATCATCGTCATCATCATTTTTAACATTATCATCATTGTCGTCGTCATAATCATATTCATTTGCATAAAATACACACACGAGTTTATAACAAAACAAACAAATGAAAAAAAATTTTTTTATGTGTGAACCAATCAGGCACTCGCTCATTCGTTCATTCATCCATTCACTCATTTATTTTTTCGTTCATTCATTCATTCACTCACTCACACATTCATTCCTTTATTCATTCATTAGCTGACCTTAACAAAACAGTCAAGGGTTTCAGCTGAAGTGCAAACTTTCTCTCTATCAATAGATGACGTCAACGAAATAATCCCCGTCCCCTCGTTTATGTGAAAGTACTTCCGAAATTGACCGGAAATAGATAAAAATGTGAACGCCAGGGTTTCATTTGGAGCCATATTTTTTTTCGCAAGTTGCGCCACTACGTCACATGACGTCTGCTCTATCGGGTCAAGTTCTTCGGTGAAGTAACAATTCATCACTACTTCCGCTCTGTCGTCGTTTTTCAAGATGGCGACTGCCTCTCCGACCGGAAATGAGATGGAGATGAAGAGAAGGAAGAAGATGTTGACGGCGATAAGTGAGAGATGTGTGATGATGAAGAAAGAGAAAGAAAAATGTTGATGAAAGATGCTGATGACGTTGTTTTTGGAGGTTGATTTTGATTGGTCAAGTTCTAAAGACGATGATGATGACGATGACAATGGAGATGATAGTGATGATGATGATGATGTTGTTGATGATGATGATGACAAGGTTGACGATGATGATAGTGAAGATGACGTCGACGATGGCGACATACAATAAGATGACGTCATTATTTCTTATTTACAAAAAAAACGCATCCGCCAAACTAAGCAAATATAAAAAATAATTAAACTTTTTTTTCAATTGTTTTTGGAAAAACCCCAAGATAAAACAAATGAACGATAAAAATCCATTGGCAAAAAACAAAAACGATTCAATTTCTTCTTCAAGAATAAAATTATTTTACTTTTTAATAAAAAAAAAATCTTCGTAAATTTAAATAAATTTAAATATATAAATGTAAACAACATACCGAAATACCGCAGTATATAACTACTTTAAATGGAGACATAGCGTTTGTCTACATTATACATACTATACAAACTTGCGTATAAATAATACAAGCATGTGTTGCATACATTAAATATATACAATAATCTCAATCATATACAAATATTATATTATATTTATTATTATATTTATTATTATTATTATTATTATTATTATTGTTGTTGTTGTTATTTGCTTGTGCTTTGGCTTAAAGTGGAAAGAAATTATATAGATTATACGTCTGTATGTACATATATATATGTGTGTGTTTTTGTGTGTGTGTGAGTTTGTGTGTGTGTTGTGTGTGTGTGTGCGTGTATGTGATTGTGTGTACATATAGTT